CCGCCCGCGCCCGCGCTGCGCCTGGACGCGCGTACCGGGGCGCTCAGCGCTCCGCACGGCCTAGATCGGGAGACCACACCAGCGATGTTGCTGCTCGTGGAGGCCACCGACCGGCCCGCCAATGCCAGCCGCCGCCGCGCAGCGCGCGTTTCTGCGCGCGTCTTTGTCACAGATGAGAATGACAATGAGCCTGTCTTCGCCTCACCCTCACGTGTGCGCCTCCCGGAGGACCAGCCGCCCGGGCCCGCGGCGCTGCACGTGGTAGCCCGGGACCCGGACCTGGGCGAGGCCGCTCGTGTGTCCTATCGCCTGGCAGCTGGAGGAGATGGCCACTTCCGGCTACACTCAAGTACTGGTGAGAGTTGGGCCTGGGATTGAGGGTGAGGAGGGTGCTGATGTGGAGGGCGTGCAGGTTTCCACCCACCCGCCTTACCCCTCACGTAGGAGCGCTGTTCGTGGTGCGGCCCTTGGACCGCGAACAGCGAGCTGAGCACATACTGACCGTGGTGGCCTCCGACCATGGCTCCCCACCACGCTCGGCCACGCAAGTTCTGACTGTCAGTGTCGCTGACGTCAACGATGAGGCACCTGCCTTCCAGCAGCAGGAGTACAGCGTCCTCTTGCGTGAGAACAGCCCGCCTGGCACATCTCTGCTCACTCTTCAGGCAACCGACCCCGATCTGGGTAAGATCTGGAGGGATGGACTGGGACGAGAAAGGGCATATTTGCCCTCTAATCACCCTCCATGCTGTTGCTCCCCAGGGGCCAATGGGCAAGTGACTTATGGAGGCATCTCTGGCGAAAGCTTCTCCCTGGACCCTCACACTGGAGTTCTCACGACTCTGCGGGCTCTGGATAGGGAGGAGCAGGAAGAGATCAATCTGACAGGTACATATTAACAGGACCCCAAGGCCTCAAGAGTCTGAGGTAGTATAAACTTGAGTGTTATATGGGTAGAACCTCCTAAGTACTACCTTCTAGAAGTTCAGCATAGCTATGGTTATATTTATGGACTCTTTTGGGGAATCAAGAGTTCGGCATTGTGTAAGGTGAACTGATTTCTAGGCTGTCGCAACTATGATCACAAAAGCTTTTAAATGCATAATGTCACAGCTATGCCTTTTAGCATCCCTCAGATACTGCAGCTATTTAACAAGGAGCATATTGATATTAAGCATAGAGAGGTCAAGTCACTTGCTCAGGCTAATGTAGCTTGGAAATGGCAGAGCTGGGACTTGAACCTAGATGTTTTGATACCTCATTTAGTGTCTTTGAGTTACACCACCATTAATCCAGGATATATCTTGCATGCACCAAGCATGGGAGGTGGGAAGGAAAAGAACATCTTCTGACACACGTATGTTTATGCATGCATGTATATGCCTGGGCGTGTGGAGAGGTGTACATTTTCTGGTTTGTGTGTGCACCTAGTGAACAGGTATGAACACATGTGGTATGGGTTTTTCTATCGGATGAGAGCAGGCTAGACCTCATTTTGCTTCCCCACAGTGTATGCCCGGGATGGAGGCTCGCCCCCGCAGTTAACTCATGTCACAGTGCGTGTGGCTGTGGAGGATGAGAATGACCATGCACCAACCTTTGGGAGTGCCCACCTCTCCCTGGAGGTCCCCGAGGGCCAGGACCCCCAGACCCTCACCATACTTCGGGCCTCTGACCCAGATGTGGGAGCCAACGGACAGCTACAATACCGCATCCTAGGTAAGAGCCATCCCACACTCACTAACCCAGCACCCACTTGCCTGGTTCTTGCTCCTTGTTTGCCGCTGTCAGCCGCACTCAGTGTGCCTAGGTCTCCTTTCCCCTCTTCTTATGTCTTCCACTTTTTTTCTTGCATGTATCGGTGTATCTAGGTATCTCTTTCTATGCCTCTCCAGCTCTTTCTCTCTCTCTATCTCTGTTTTTATCATCCTATTTCTTTTCTTTCTCATTTGTCTCTCCCTGTAGAGAAGTCATTCTCAAACTTTTTGGTCTCAGGAATACTTCAAGTTCTTAATCTTTGAGAACTCTAGAGACTTTTTATGTGGATTATATCAATATTTACTGAATTAGATATTAAAACTGAGACAATTTTAAAATACGATTGTGAAATAAGCCAATGAAGTATACTGCTTGCTGGTATTTCTACATAAGTACAAAGAAATGTTAAGATTTCAGATGACAATTTGTTGGACAGTAATGAGGTTTCAAGATTATAGCAGGCATAACTGAAGGTAACCCGCACAAACTGAATCTCTGAAAACACACATTTTCATGTTCTAAACTTTCTAGAATACTCTAGAAAACACGAGAATACATAATTACACATTCTATTAACCGAGAGATGATATCATCGCATGTCATGTAGCATCTGCAAATTCTACTGCACATTTGTTAGATAATGAGAATGAAAATGCATATAATGTCTTAGTAGTGCTATGAAAATATTTTTGATCTTATGTGCATGGAAGGGTCTCAGGGGACTTCTAGGGGTTCCCAGAAATTACCCACTGAGTGATAACGACTGCTTTATAGTATCTTTCTTTATGGTCTATGTTTCTTTTTTGTTCATTTTAATGTGGGTTTTCTATTTCTGTCTCGCTGCCTTTCTCCCAGTCACACATGCATACATTCTCCCTCTGTCTCTCTGTCTCTCTGTCTCTCTCTCTCTCTCTCTCTCTCTCTCTCTCTCTCTCTGCTGTTGTCTGTAAATCACCCCCAACCCCATGACATATGTATTTTTTTTTTACTTTATTTAATTATAAAATATAGGGTACAAGTCAGGATTAAGTACATGGGTAATGTATGTGCAGGTGAAGTTTGGGGCTCCAACTGATCCTCACTTCCCCTGGTTTAGGATCAGGTACGCTTTGTGTTGTTATGTGCCCCCCACCTTCTTTTCTCCCCAGGCAGTGTCCTGAGACGGCAGATCCTTCTCTTGTGCTATTGTGATTAATGTTTAGGTTGCACTTACAAGTGAGAACATGTGGAATTCAGTTCTTTGTTTCTGTGATAGGTCGCTATGGATGATTCCCATGACACATGTATGTTTATGTGTGTATGCCTTTCTCTGTAGATGGAGATCCTTCAGGAGCCTTTGTCCTAGATCTTGCCTCTGGGGAATTTGGTACCATGAGGCCACTAGACCGTGAGGTGGAGCCAGCATTTCAGCTGAGGATAGAGGCCCGGGATGGAGGCCAGCCAGCTCTCAGTGCTACTCTCCTTGTGACAGTGACAGTGCTGGATGCTAATGACCATGCTCCAGCCTTTCCTGTGCCTGCCTACTCTGTGGAGGTGCCTGAGGATGTGCCTGCAGGGACCTTGCTGCTGCAGCTACAGGCTCATGACCCTGATGCTGGGGCCAATGGCCGTGTGACCTACTACCTGGGTGCAGGTACTGCAGGAGCCTTTCTGCTGGAGCCCAGTTCTGGGGAGCTGCGCACAGCTGCAACCCTGGACAGAGAACAGTGTCCCAGCTACACCTTTTCTGTGAGTGCAGTGGATGGTGCAGCTGCTGGACCCCTGAGCACCACAGTGCCTGTCACCATCACAGTGCGTGATGTCAACGATCATGCACCCACCTTCCCCACCAGTCCTCTACGCCTGCGCTTGCCCCGCCCAGGCCCCAGCCTCAGTACCCCAACCCTGGCTCTAGCCACACTGCGAGCTGAAGATCGGGATGCTGGTGCCAATGCCTCTATTCTGTACCGGCTGGCAGGCACACCACCCCCTGGCACCACTGTGGATTCCTACACTGGAGAAATTCGTGTGGCCCGCTCCCCTGTAGCTCTGGGCCCCCGGGATCGTGTCCTCTTTGTTGTGGCTACCGACCTTGGCCGTCCAGCTCGCTCTGCCACTGGTGTGATCATTGTTGGACTGCAGGGGGAATCTGAGCGTGGACCCCGCTTTCCCCGGGCAAGTAGTGAGGCTACACTCCGTGAGAATGCACCCCCAGGTGGGTACCCAGACATGTCTCCCAGATTTTTATCTCTGTATGGGCTGGAGTTACTCCCTGAAAATGTCCCCCAAACTCTCTCTAGTGCTCACAGTCCAACCAATACCTTCCTCTCTGCAGGGACTCCTATTGTCTCCCCTAAGGCTGTCCACGCAGGGGGTTCAAATGGACCCATCACCTACAGCATTCTCAGTGGGAATGAAAAAGGGACGTTCTCCATCCAACCTAGTACAGGTAAGGGATTGGACCAGCGGCTTTGTGAAGGATAGATTCCTGAGGAAGAAGCTCCTTTGGGCCAGAGGGGGCTTTGATTAGGGAAGGGCTGCCCTTGAGTAGGGGGCCTCAGAGAGGGAGACTCCAGGACAACTAAAGGGGGCTGTCAGTGATGCATTCTTCCACCCCCCAGGAGCCATCACGGTTCGCTCTGCAGAGGGGCTGGACTTTGAGGTGAGCCCCCGGCTGCGACTGGTGCTGCAGGCAGAGAGTGGAGGAGCCTTTGCCTTCTCTGTGCTGACCCTGACCCTGCAAGATGCCAATGACAATGCTCCCCGTTTCCTGCGGCCCCACTATGTGGCCTTCCTGCCTGAGTCCCGGCCCTTGGAGGGGCCCTTGCTGCAGGTGTGGGGTGTGATGGCAAGATGGGGGGTAGGGCTGATCATACTTGTCTATGGCCAGGCCTGTGCCAGCAGCCTCCTACCCTCCCCAGGTGGAGGCAGATGACCTGGATCAAGGCTCCGGAGGACAGATCTCCTACAGTCTGGCTGCGTCCCAGCCAGCACGGGGATTGTTCCACGTAGACCCAGCCACAGGCACTATCACTACCACAGCCATCTTGGACCGTGAGATTTGGGCCGAAACACGGTGAGGCCTGGCCCTGTGGACCTGAGACCCCATCCTGGATCTGTCCAGTTTCAAACCCTGCCTTGCATCCCCCTAAGTCCCTAAGCCAGGCCTTGAATTCCCAACCTCAAGCTCCATTCTGAGTCCTCTTAGCCCTACTCAGGCTTTCCCCTTATCCCCATGCACCACCCGATGATTGTTTCTTATATCCAGGCTGGTACTGATGGCCACAGACAGAGGAAGCCCAGCCCTGGTGGGCTCAGCTACTCTGACGGTGATGGTCATCGACACCAATGACAACCGTCCCACCATCCCTCAGCCCTGGGAGCTCCGAGTATTGGAAGGTGAGGGCTGGGTAAAGTGAGAGGTATAAAATGTGACAGAAAAGCACTATTCCCCACTCTGGGGGTCTGGGGATGCCTTGGACCATGCCAAACACACTTGCCCCTTGTATTGCAGATGCGTTATTGGGCTCAGAGATTGCACAGGTAACAGGGAATGATGTGGACTCAGGACCAGTGCTGTGGTATGTGCTCAGCCCATCTGGGCCCCAAGATCCCTTTAGTGTTGGCCGCTATGGAGGCCGCGTCTCTCTCACGGGCCCCCTGGATTTTGAGCAGTGTGACCGCTACCACCTGCAGCTACTGGCACATGATGGGCCTCACGAGGGCCATGCCAACCTCACGGTGCTTGTGGAGGATGTCAATGACAATGCACCTGCCTTCTCACAGAGCCTCTACCAGGTATTTACACCCCGAATGCCCCCACACCTGGCCCCAGGGTTGTACTTGTTGGAGGAAAGTGTCAGAGTTAGAAACAGCTGAGGTGGGCTGGATGTTGGAGCTCATCTGGGGATGGGAGGGTGCCATCTCAGACAAGCCTTCCAAGTCCTGTGGACTATGTCCATATTTTTGCATCTTGTGCCCAGAAAGGGGAGCAGGTGGGCCATTTGAATACTATGAAGTATGGGCTACAGGCTGGAATGGATGTCAAGCAGGGCTCATGGGATCAAACTGCACAGCACAGGTTGAGTGGGCAGCAGGGCCACTGGGAAGTTTGGTTTTGAATACTCTTCCTCATACCTCAGGTGTCGCTGCTTGAGCACACACCCCCAGGTAGTGCTATTTTCTCCGTCTCTGCCACTGACCGGGACTCAGGTGCCAACGGTCACATCACCTACCACCTGGCTTCGCCTGCTGAGGGCTTCAGTGTTGACCCCAACAATGGTGCGTCTTTCCCTGAATCTGCCCTGTCTTTGACTTTGTTGGGCCATGTTCTGACCTCTTTCCTAGAATTTGTTACTCAAACTTTTGACTCCTGTATCTCTGACTCAGGGAGGACACTTTCTCCCCTCCGACTTTATTATAAGCCCTTTCTTGATGGTATGTCTAGAAGCCGTTCCCTAAGCTTTGAATCCTTGAAGCCATCCCACAATCTTCTGGCACACTGGCCGTTCCTTGGAGTCTGTCTGCCAAAGCCATTTCCTAGGCTCTGAAGGGTCACTCTTCTGATCAACTACAGCCTCTACTGAATACATGTTTTTTTCTCTTTCCTTCTCATCTCAGGGACCCTGTTCACAACAGTGGGAACAGTGGCCTTGGGCCATGAGGGGCCAGGAGTGGTGGATGTGGTTCTGGAAGCACAGGACCATGGGGCTCCAGGCCGAGCAACACAAGCCACAGTGCATGTGCAACTGCAGGACCAGAATGACCATGCCCCAAGCTTTACATTGCCGCACTACCGTGTGGCTGTGACTGAAGATCTGCCCCCTGGCTCCACCCTGCTCACCCTGGAGGCCACAGATGCTGACAGAAGCCGCATCCATGCCGTTGTGGACTACAGCATCATCAGTGGCAACCGTGGCCGAGTCTTCCAGTTGGAACCCCGGCTGGCTGAGGCTGGGGAGGGTGTTGGACTAGGACCCCAGGCACTGGGCTGCTTGGTGTTGCTTGAAGCTTTAGATTTTGAAAGTCTGACACAGTACAATCTAACTGTGGCTGCAGCCGACCGGGGGCAGCCACCCCGCAGCTCAACCGTGCCCGTCACTGTCACTGTACTAGATGTCAATGACAACCCTCCTGTCTTTACCCAAGCATCCTACCGTGTGGCAGTACCCGAGGACACGCCTGTTGGAGCTGAGCTGCTACGTGTGGAGGCCTCTGATGCTGACCCTGGCCCTCATGGCCTTGTGCATTTCACCGTCAGTTCAGGCGACCCACTGGGGCTCTTTGAGCTGGATGAGAGCTCAGGCGCCTTGCGACTGGCCCACACCCTGGACTGTGAGACCCAGGCTCAACATCAGCTTGTAGTCCAAGCTGCTGACCCCGCTGGTGCACACTTTGCTTTGGCACCAGTGACAGTCGAGGTCCAAGATGTGAATGACCATGGCCCAGCTTTCCCACTGAACTTGTTCAGCACCAGCCTGGCAGAGAACCAGCCTCCAGGCACTCTGGTGACCACTCTGCATGCGATCGATGGGGATGCTGGGGCTTTTGGGAGGCTCCGCTATAGCCTGTTGGAGGCTGGACCAGGGCCTGAGGGCCGTGAGGCATTTGCACTGAACAGCTCAACGGGGGAGTTGCGTGCACGCGTGCCCTTTGACTATGAGCACACAGGAAGCTTCTGGCTGCTGGTGGGTGCTGCCGATGCTGGGAATCTCTCAGCCTCTGTTACTGTGTCAGTGCTGGTGACTGGAGAGGATGAATATGACCCCGTATTCCTGGCTCCAGCTTTCCACTTCCAAGTGCCAGAAGGCGCCCGTCGTGGTCACAGTCTGGGTCATGTACAGGCCACAGATGAGGATGGGGGTGCCGATGGCCTTGTTCTCTATTCCCTGGCCACCTCTTCCCCCTATTTTGGTATCAACCAGACTACAGGTGCCCTGTACCTGCAGGTAGATAGTCGGGCACCAGGCAGTGGAGCAGCCACCTCCGGGGGTGGGGGCCGGACTCGGCGTGAGGCACCACGGGAGCTGAGGCTGGAGGTGGTAGCACGGGGGCCTCTGCCTGGTTCCCGAAGTGCCACAGTGCCTGTGACCGTGGATATCACCCACACTGCACTTGGCCTGGCACCTGACCTCAACCTGCTATTGGTGGGAGCTGTGGCTGCCTCCTTGGGAGTTGTGGTGGTGCTTGCACTGGCAGCCCTGGTCCTAGGACTCATTCGGGCCCGTAGCCGCAAGGCTGAGGCAGCCCCTGGCCCAATGTCACAGGCAGCGCCCCTAGCCAGTGGCTCTCTGCAGAAGCTGGGCCGGGAGCCACCCAGTCCACCACCCTCAGAGCATCTATATCACCAGACTCTTCCCAGCTATGGTGGGCCAGGAGCTGGAGGACCCTATCCCCGTGGTGGCTCCCTGGACCCTTCACACTCAAGTGGTCGAGGCTCAGCAGAGGCTGCGGAGGATGACGAGATCCGCATGATCAATGAGTTCCCCCGTGTGGCCAGTGTAGCCTCCTCTCTGGCTGCCCGTGGCCCTGACTCGGGCATCCAGCAGGATGCAGATGGACTGAGTGACACATCCTGTGAGCCACCTGCCCCTGACACCTGGTATAAGGGCCGAAAAGCAGGGCTGCTGCTTCCAGGTGCAGGAGCCACTCTGTACCGAGAGGAGGGGCCCCCAGCCACTGCCACAGCCTTCCTGGGGGGCTGTGGCCTGAGCCCTGCACCCACTGGGGACTATGGCTTTCCAGCAGATGGCAAACCATGTGTGGCAGGTGCACTGACAGCCATTGTGGCTGGCGAGGAGGAGCTCCGTGGCAGCTATAACTGGGACTACCTGCTGAGTTGGTGCCCTCAGTTCCAGCCACTAGCCAGTGTCTTCACAGAGATTGCTCGGCTCAAGGATGAAGCTCGGCCGTGTCCCCCAGCTCCTCGTATTGACCCACCACCCCTCATCACTGCCGTGGCCCACCCAGGAGCCAAGTCTGTGCCCCCCAAGCCAGCAAGCACCACTGCAGCCCGGGCCATCTTCCCACCAGCCTCTCACCGCTCCCCCATCAGCCACGAGGGCTCCCTGTCCTCAGCTGCCATGTCCCCCAGCTTCTCACCCTCTCTGTCACCTCTGGCTGCTCGCTCACCTGTTGTCTCACCATTTGGAGTGGCCCAGGGTCCCTCAGCCTCAGCACTCAGTGCAGAGCCCGGCCTGGAGCCGCCTGATGACACGGAGCTGCACATCTAGCTGTGGCCCAGGCTGGGCTCTGACCTGGGATGCGCACAGTGTCCCCAATGCAGGCCCCATTCTGAGCCTGCCCTGGGCAGCCTCCGACCATGACTGGCCACGGGGAGGCCGCCACCAGCCCCCAGCTCTTCACTTCAAACTCCCCAGCCCCTTCAGAGCACTAGGATCACAGAGGCCTATTGGTGACTTACCTGTGGCCAGTTCCCAATGTGGGGAGAAATATGAAGGAGGTGAGGGCTTACTGCCCTGTGCCAGCATCCTGAGATGGAGCTGAGACTTTATTTATTGGGGGGTGGGAAATGGAGGAGGTCCCTCCAATGTCTTTGGACCCAGCTCCTTTGGGTTCCACTGACACCCCTGCCCCTGCCCAGAACCAAGTGCCAATTCTCACTCTGGAGCCTTAATAAACTGCAGTTTGTATCCAGTCTCCGGCTCTGTTCTGTGGGGTGACTGGAAGACCCCTGGCACAGAATTGTGGACATCTCAGGAGGTGCAGAGGGGTGGTGGACATGTGGCATCCAGAGTGGGGATGGCAGTAGGAGTTCAGGAGCCTCTCCTGAGCCTGATTATAACAACTCTTCATTTGGGTGGGGTGGGACCTTGGGAATGACCAGCCTGAGGGTCTTAAAAAAGACCAGCCAGATGGTTTATTTGTTTTTCTTGTACCACTAAATATCCACATTATAATAAGAGCTCGCATTTGTTGAGCCTTTGCCATGTCAGTCTCTGCCAGTGGTTTGCCTGCTTTATCTCAGTGCAGAATTTCAGTTTCACAGAACAAGATGTGGGAACCATCATGTAGACTGTTTTTTGGGAGAGCCAGGCTGTGAGGGAAACAAGATCAACCAATGCTTGAGGAGTTCATCGGATTGAGGAAATTGTAAAGAAGAATGTGATCAATGAGAGGGGTTTCAGAGCATGGGTGCTAGCTAGTAAATATAGTTCCAGGGTCCCAGCTCCATGGGAAATGTTTGGTTCTGAGGAAAGTAGCGGGGTCAAGGGACAGGAGGAAGATTAATTTTAATGGGCGTGTGGAAATGCAATAGCTTGAAAGAACATAAGGTTATAGTTTAAGAAAGGATGCTATAATTATAGTTTCAAAGGTAGAGCAATTCTAAGAGATGGTAGGACCAAGGTATAGTCATGGGACTGGTTTGCTTAGGTGAAGTGAAGGTAATGCTCATTGGGTTTGGTGAGATTAAAGAAATGGGAGGTTAGGGTGTTGAATGGGTTTCTTACCAAGATATTTTGATCATCTAAGTCAAATGATAGCAGAAGTCAGGGTGGATAGAAAGGCTAGGTGCCAAAATTCTCAGAATGGGGATATAATCTATATTACAATAGATATCAACGGCCTGTAGGACAACAGCAAGATTAGAGAGATGGAAGGGGATGGATGTATCTCAAAGATAATTGAGGTCAAACCAAGGGATTTTACATAAGTACTGGATTAATGACTTTGGAAGTTAAAATGACACTGCTGACACCCTCTTCCATATGGAATTTTGGAAGAAAGAAATCTTAAGAACGCCGAGAAAGAAGCTGAGTCCTCAGCGTTTTAACTCTCATTGAAAATCTTCTTGGAAGGACCTCAATTATAAATGGTCAACTCAAACATTCTTGAGGGCTTTGAGTTACTATTAGGAAGAAGCAGAAGTCTGGATTTGTTTTATTCATCTGAACCCCCTAAACAATAATGCAAGATTCCTCCATGGTTCTTGGAACAATGTTATTTTCCTCAAAAACCTTGGGTACCCATAATAAACAGGACCCCAGCTGATTGTGGATTTCCTTGGGGACCACTGAAAATCAGAACTGATTTGAATTAAAGGATCCTGGTCTTGCTAAAGCTCCAGTCTGCTCATAAATTTAATCCTAAAATGATCATGAGATTGATAATACAGGGAGACAGTGTAAAGAAGGAGGAAAAATAATTTTTTCCTGGACGCTGGGTGCGATCGCTCATGCCTGTAATCTCAGCACTTTCGGAGGTGGAGGTGAGAGGACTGTCTGAGTCCAGGGGTTCGAGAACAGTCTGGGCAAATTGGTGAGACCTCGTTTCTACAATAAATCAAAAAATTAGCCAGGCGTGGTGGCACATGCCTATGGTTCCAGCTACTTGGAAGGCTGAGGCAGAAGGACTGCCTGAACCCAGCAGCAGGTCAAGGCTGTAGTGGCCATGAGGATGCCACTGCACTCCAGCCTGGGTAACAGAGTGAGACTCCAACTCAAAAAAAAAAAAAGGAATTTTTGTTTCACTGCACTGAGGCAGATCACTTTAACATAATAGTCTCTGTATTATAAATGAAGAAGCCTAGGCATTGAGACGTTAAGCTATTTTCCTGATACCATACAGCTAGGAAGAACTCGTCTATGGGCCTCCAGAGCCCACTCCCTTGTGGTGACTCCCAGACTCAGGCAGCAGGTAAGGAGCCCTGGGTTTACCCAGTGCTTAACGGGCCAGAGTGGAAGAATCCAAGCAGCAGCCCCAACCTTGCCCAGCATTCGTGACCACCCATACAAGGGAGGAGCCAGCACCAGCACCGTCACTAGTTACTAGGCAGAAAGGTGGTGGTGGAATGTAGCGCTCATGTGATCTGTCACATGACAGCAGATCTGCAGAAAGGCAGAATGGGACTCCGAGCCTGGTAAGAAATTAGGGAGGCCTGGGAGAAGGGGATCATGTTGGAGGGAATACATGTTGGAGGGTGGGAACACAATGACAATCCAGCTCCCGCAGAAACCCACCTGCCACCCCTACAGGCTCCTATGGTTCCTTGCCCTCATTCTCTCTGGCAAATGCAGTTACAGCCCGGAGCCTGATCAGCAAAGGACGTGAGTTAACTTAGCACTGACTGTCCCTTTTTCAATGCTCTGTTTTGCACCTACCATCCTGGTCCCAAGCTTTCCTCACCCCCATGCCAGCTGCTAGAGTCCACTCCATAGCCTCATCCCCAGATTCCCAGACTCAGTCCCCTATCATTCATCTCCTGTGAATAGTCTCAGCTCCTAATGAAACTTCCCATAACCAGTGATTTTCCATCCCCACCCTAACCAAGTCATGTCCCTGACCCCTGTCCCTACTACAGGATACCCCCAGGCTGGGTGTCCCTGGGCCGAGCGGACCCTGAGGAAAAGCTGAGTCTCACCTTTGCCCTGAGACAACAGAACCTGGAGAGACTCTCGGAGCTGGTACAAGCTGTGTCGGATCCCAGCTCTCCTCACTATGGTGCCTATTGGGATTGGGGACAAGAAGCGGGGGTGCAGTAGAGGGACGCAGGGCTGGGCTAGGCCTGGGATGGTGCAGATCATGTCAAGATCATGTATCAAGGCCTGCCAGACATCTGTGTTCCTTGGGCTAGAAACCTAAAAGCAGACATGGTTCAGAGCACAGGTTTTATGATCAAATCTGGATTCAAATTCTGATTCCACTGTTTACTAGCTAGCAGGCAAATGGAGAAATAGCATCTGTACATATGGGAGCTTTTCAACTCAAGTTCCTTCTCCCACCCACAAATCCACTCTCATTTTCTTCTCTGTTCAGACACTAAGGCTGCCAGTTCCAACTCCTAAAAGGTTTCTTGGTTAGTCTACTTCTCACAGTCCCTCCTTGCGACCAACTTGGTTGTTTATTCATTCCTGGACTACTGCCCAGCCCCTTCATCCTTCACTGGTCTCCTCCCCACACCCACCCTCCACTGTAGTCCCCACTCTGCTTCAAAATAGTCTCTCCAAGGGTTAAACTGAATTGTATCCTTCCCCTGGTTAAAGACCTACATGCCAGGGAAAATGTGTGCGTTTTAATGGTGGAGGTGAGGGAGGGGGGCAGTCTCAGATTCACTCAAGAGACAGGCAGTAATGTGCATTGCTCTGTGCAGGAAGTAGTGACTCACCATCATGTTACATGTAAAATCAACACGTATGAAAATTTGAGCTAAATTAAAAGGTATCTTATAATTGCTGTCAAAACTTTTGAAAACATTTATTGGAGATAAAATTAAAATGGAAAATTTAAATGTATTAACCTCATTTGTGTTTCATGGTCATGGCAGTGCATGCTTTGGTGCATTTGCAACTTACTGGCCTTTGGGGTAAATCCATATTCTTGGCCATGGCATTCTAAGTCTCTCTAGCCTTTTCCTCTCCTGCCCCTCAAGTGTATCCTGCAGCTGCACAACCCCCCTTTACCCTGTCCCAGGCTCACTAGAAAGTCCTGATGTCTCACAGTTGAGGTCCAAAGAGGGAAGCTTGGGAAAGCAATGAATGAAGGCAAGAGCCTCTTCTGAATCCCTGCAGGAAAATACCTAACCCTAGAGGATGTGGCTGAGCTGGTCCGGCCATCCCCACTGACCCTCCTCACGGTCCAGAAATGGCTCCTGGCAGCTGGAGTCTGGAGCTGCCATTCAGTGACCACACAGGACTTTCTGACTTGTTGGCTGAGCGTCCGGTGAGAGGAAATGATTGCTCCATGGAGGGTACCAATCATCCCATCAGGGAGACTAGTTGAGAGCTTGCTGGGGGCTTGTGGATGGGAGCTAATGCATGGGGAGATGATTACCGACTGCTCAGTGATGTTCAGACAGCCTCCTCTGCTCTGTTTCGAGCTTTCTGACGTCTGTTCTCTGATCTCTGACCTCCAGACAGGCAGAGTTGCTGCTCTCTGGAGCTGAGTTTCATCATTATGTGGGAGGACCTGCGAAGACCCATGTTGTAAGGTCCCCACATTCCTACCAGCTCCCACAGGGCTTGGCACCCCATGTGGACTTTGGTAATGCCCAATGGGTTTGGTGAGAGTTGGGGCAGACAGATCCAGGGGCTGAAGAAGTTTAGATGTCATGGGGGGGGTTGGGGTAGGGTCAGTGGTAAGGTGGGTGTTGGAGTCTGTAAAATCTCTTCCTCAAGTCTGACCCCTCTCTACAGTGGGGGGACTGCACCGTTTTCCCCCAACATCATCCCTGAGGCAACGCCCTGAGCCACAGGTGGCAGGGCACATGGGCCTGCATCTGGGGGTGACCCCATCCGTGATCCGTGAGCGATACAACTTGTCAGCCCAAGATGTGGGCTCTGGCACCAGCAATAACAGTCAGGCCTGTGCCCAGGTGAGCCAAGCAGAAAGCTCCAGGGTCTTCACAGCCTTTCCCATGGTATCCTCAGTGTTTTACCACCCTAGGGCTTACCCTTTTTTACTATGATCCCTTCTCTGACTTCCTCCATAGTTCCTGGAGCAGTATTTCCATGGATCAGACCTGGCTGAGTTCATGCATCTTTTTGGTAGCAACTTTGCACACCAGGCATCAGTAGCCCGTGTGATTGGACAACAAGGCCGGGGCCGGGCCGGAATTGAAGCCAGTCTAGATGTGCAGTACCTGATGAGTGCTGGTGCCAACATTTCCACCTGGGTCTACAGTAGCCCTGGTACTACCAAGGGAACCGGCTGGGGGAGAAGAGGGGAAGTGGGTGTTATCTCTGAGGGAATGCCTGAGCTGGAGGGGGATCCTGACAACCCCTCAATGGAAAAAAAATGCAGGCCGGCATGAGGGACAAGAGCCCTTCCTGCAGTGGCTCCTGCTGCTCAGTAATGAGTCAGTCCTGCCACATGTGCATACTGTGAGCTATGGTGACGACGAGGACTCCCTCAGCAGCACCTACATCCAACGAGTCAACACTGAGTTCATGAAGGCTGCCGCTAGGGGTCTCACCCTGCTCTTTGCCTCAGGTGAACTCCTACCCTAAACTTAGACATTCCCACACCCCACCCCCAACCTGGCAGCTTTGACCCCACAGTGACCCCTGACTCATCGTTTGACTTCAGATCCTCAACAGAAACCACTAACTTAACCTCTACACCCTGGCCTCCTACAGTAACAATTGACACCTGAATTTCCTCTCTTGGTATGTGGTTCCTCTGAAACCACATACCAAGCTCTGAGTGATAAACTTGGTTTCTCTCCCAGGTGACAGTGGAGCTGGATGTTGGTCAACCTCTGGAAGACACAAGTTCCGTCCTAGCTTCCCTGCCTCCAGGTAAGCACTCCAGCTCACCACTTACCACAACCTTTCACCTGTGACCTCATGATCTAGAACATTTGTCTTGACCCCATTAAGATGTTTCTGTGGCTCAGCCCTCAGTTTTACCTGTCCTGTTTGCTGCCTCCCCCATCTCTTCTTGTAGGTCCCAGGCCCCAAGTCTCCTGAGTGGGATACAATTCACATTGTTCCTCATCCTAAGTCCCCAGGCATTTTAGTGGAGGATTTGGTGGGTATTCTGTAAAGAAAAGTGTGCAGAGTCATCTGAGGTCATGCCTTGAGGGTTTAAAACCTCTTAATTAATTCCACATACATGCCTCCCACATAGTTTAGCTCTTCCAGCAAGACCCAGGCCATCTTCACCCATCCCACACATCTTGGAGGTCCCCTTGGGTCCTCTACTATATGAATGATGTCTTCTGCCCTCAGCCCCTATGTCACCACAGTGGGAGGCACCTCCTTCCAGAATCCTTTCCTCGTCACAAATGAGATTGTTGACTTTATCAGTGGTGGTGGCTTCAGCAATGTGTTCCCACGGCCTTCATACCAGGTATATATATGTACATTTGTTGGATGTATGGTAAGGGTAGGCATGGGGGATCCTCAGTTCTGACTGCTAAGCAGGCCACAGGCCAATGCTCACTTAAAAATGCCTTTCAGGAGGAAGCTGTAGCCCAGTTCCTGAGCTCTAGCCCCCACCTGCCACCATCCAGTTACTACAATGCCAGTGGTCGTGCCTATCCAGATGTGGCTGCACTTTCTGATGGCTACTGGGTAGTCAGTAACAGTGTGCCCATTCCATGGGTGTCTGGAACCTCAGTGAGTATCAGCCTGTCTCCAGCCCCCTATTCAAAAACTACCCACAAGACCTTGTGCACTGAACCCCCAATCTTTAGAGACCACTGATCCCTTCAAACATCCCTCCCTAAAAATCTAATCACTCTGAGCTCCTGACTGCTACTTGCCCTTTCACCTTGTAGGCTTCCACTCCAGTGTTTGGGGGGCTCCTCTCTTTGATTAATGAGCACAGAATCCTCAGTGGCCGCCCCCCTCTTGGCTTTCTCAACCCAAGGCTCTACCAGCAGCATGGGGAAGGACTCTTTGATGTAAGTGTGGAAGGGAAGGGTGTGGATGTTTTCATACAACAATGGGAAGTGCTAAGATAAACTTGGGGACCATTCTGATTGTGTGGGACAGCCTCTGAAATGTGAATACAGGGTGAGGAGGTATACTCTGTTAGTATCAGCATGCCCAATCTAATGCCCACCTCCTCCCTAGGTAACCCATGGCTGCCATGAGTCCTGTTTGAATGAAGAGGTGGAAGGTCAGGGTTTCTGCTCTGGCCCTGGCTGGGATCCTGTGACAGGCTGGGGAACGCCCAACTTCCCAGCTCTGCTGAAGATACTACTCAACCCTTAACCTTGTGCTGCCAGAAGAGCTGGCCCGCCCCCTCCCTGCAGCTGGTGGTCCAGGCTCTTATCTCCGCCCTGTTGGAAGCCCTGCTGAACCCTTAATTGTTGACTGCTGCAGACAGCTTATCTCCCTAACCCTGAAATGCTGAGTTTGATTTGACCTCAAACGCTGCCACGCTTCATCCTACTCAGGTCTTCCTGTTTCTTCCTCAGGTTCCTAAACAAGATGGTATAACTAGCATTTTGGGGCTGTCTCCTCCTCCCCGCTTTATCTTCCTCTTCCCAGCCAGGCTTTTCCAAAGCATTCTCTATTTTACTTCATATTCACCCCTCAGTTCATTGCAATTACATGGCTGCTTTCACCTTTTGCTTTTTCCTACCCTAACACCGAGAAACAACGGCCTCCAGTACACACTTCCCAATCTTTGCTTTATGGCGTTTCCATCATAGTTGCCCACTCCCTCTCCTTCTTTAGCTTCCAGGATTCAACGTCTCTGACCACTCCTGTCTTTATCCTTCATGGACTTCTCTTTCTCTGCTTCCTCACGGAATGCTGGTATTCTTCATTTCTCCGTCCTTTATCTTTTGCTCTTCCCACTTTACTCACTGTCCCCTGGAACAAATCATTGGCATCTACAACCATCACCATCTCACTAAATTGAGATTTTCTATACAGTAGTGATCGATACCTCAAATGTAAGATGTGAGATACTGAACACTTTATCTTCCTCCTTTCCCACCCCAACTATTCTATTTATTGTTTCTTCTTGGTAAATGATGCTATGCTTCTTCTAGCTGAGCCAGAAACCTGTGTCATCCTTGACTCTTACTTCCTTCACTTCTCCCTCAACCTTCAATCAGCAAGTCCTACTGACTTTACCTCTTAAATATATCTTTATCAATTCACAAGTCCCTCCAATTATATTTCCTAACCATATCAAGAACTTATTCAGTTCTCTCCATCCCCACTGCTACTACATTAGCTTAGAGCCATATGATCTCCTGAATTATGAAGGTCCTTGAACAGTGTCCTTACTTCCTGCCAGTTCCTACACCATCTTCCAGAGTAAAATGCAAATCCCATCAGGGCATTTTCTTGATAAAAACTCTTCAAGGATTTCATCATGGCTCACTAACCGTCCTTGCTATTTGTTCCTGAATAAGAAATCCTTTTTCCTCTCCCCTCCCCAACCCTCAAGGAACTCTCACCATTGCTCAAGCTGTTTTGTTCCTTTAACACCACCCTTGATACGACTGCCTGGTTGATTTAAGGGATTCTTTTAAGACTCAGCTCAGAACGTTTTGTGAACGTTGATTTGGGTATGGCAGAAAAATCGTGGATTTTCTAAACCAAACCTGTTTTAACGTTGGTTCTGATATAGACTAGGAGAGAGCCTTGGGCAAGTAAGTTTATCTCCCTGACCCTGTTTCCTTATCTGTGAAATGGGAATATCAAAACCTGCCTTTCATAATAAATAAGTGGAATAATGCTGATTGAGTGCCTGGTACTTAGAAGTGGGCAGATGTTAATTCCCTTCCTCCCTTGCACTAATGGCCATACAGTATTGACGTTGCCAGTTTACTTGTTTGCCTCCTTCTCAAGACCGACTAGAATCCTGCCCTTTGTAACTTTTTATTCCCAGGTCCTAGCTCAGGAGTTGGCAAATAAGAATTAAATAAATGTCTGCTGATTGAAATTCTCACGGCTTCCACTTGCTGTGCTTTTTGCAATGTTGTTGACTCGGGCTAAAAGCGCTCCCTCTCCACCCCCAGTGGCACAGTGTACCGCCCTCCTGCTGCTCTCCCCTCTCGGGCAGTGGCGGGGAGCGGGGGCTTTCCTAATCCACTACGAACCCTTCAGGGGCTAACTAAGGGAACTGGAAAGGATGTATCCATAATCTAGGGACGTCAAGGTCTCTGAGCGTCCCCAGACTCGCAGAACAGTCCCGGATGTACTCTGGTTTCCACCCCGCAGAACCGCCGCGAAGCAACGTCGAGGGAGGGTGGAACGGCGACTGCAGGACAGTTCGCCAAGGCTTGGCCACC